AATAAGTTATCGAGTGTAAATCAACACTCCTTTACAATTCAGTACTAGCTGAAAACATAACTCAAAAAGTATAATAAAAAACAATTAGCAAACCTTTTGGGACGAGTAAATCAAGGGCAATGTGCTTCTGCAGGACAGGAAGTTCCTTCTTTTCACGGTCGCAGTCTTCAAGCCAGCCTCTTTGCACCACATTAATAAGACCCAGTGAGGCAACGCTTCTTACCTCCTTTTTCTCACTAAAGAAATCATATGAGCAAAATAGACTAAGCTTCAGTACAAAAAGCAATTAAGAAATCACAAGTAAGATGCCCAAGGAAGGTGCATCATTGTACTAGTGACCTCAAGCTGACATAGCCAGACACTATGTGCTCTTAGCATGCAAACCACATTAAAAAGGCCCACTCAAACTAAGTGCCAAAAAATCCGGAGTTTGTTTTCTCAAAGGATGCTATAAAATTAACTCACCTTTCTGAAGGAGATCCAACTACAATGTGCGTCAATCTTTCATTTAGAGTTGTATACCGGGAGGCTCCACCTCTCCGCACCATATTGACTAGATTACGCAATTCAGAAGACTCAAAACCAACAAGCGTTAACCTACATTCTGACAAATACAGGTCATTGTCTTCATTTTCAGAGTCTTCAGCAACACAACCATGAGGATTCACTTCACCATTGGATTGCACAGCTGGCACTTCACTATGATCCTCTTTTGCAAGGAAATGGGGATCCGCAAACATTGAAGACACATTCTGTGAGAGAGTGGTTTCTAAATCTGGATCGGTATGGTCAGTAGCTGAAATGGAATGGAAGTCCCGATCTCCAACCGTTGAAGAGGGGAGAGACTGTGAACTTCTTATGACTCTGTCCTGATTATGCTGACTACTTGCAGTTTTCATTGAAGACATGGAACTACCCTGAACAGGATAGGACTCCTCATTAAGACATGCTAGTCAGCAAAAGCAGACAAAATTAGAGTCAGACAACTAGATGGCTCAAAACGAACATAATGTTCCTACAGTTGACAGCAACAAGGTATATTAGTAACTGAAATATCACCTTTCCTGGAAGCTGATTGATCAAACCATTTGCGATTCACAATATGAATGTGACCCCATCTTTTAGCGACCTTGTATTTATCACCTTCTGGAGCTTACAGCCAGTCAAGGGCACAACACAATCTAAAGAACGTAGAAGCATCATAGTGGGATTCACAGTGCTACAAAGCATCATCTATGAGGCCAAGAAAAAGATTCAACGGTAATAACATTGCTGAGCAATGTGCTTTGAACAACCAACAGGCAGTCCTAACTGACACTGGAAAAGCAAGAACTTGAAACAGAAACCGAAGAAATTGAGGATCTTTTAACATTTGGCGGTTCAAAGTGTACGTTGTTTAACACCTTGTGTCCTTGAAACACAGAACACAATTCTTTAGAACTGACTTAGAAATCAAAGTCGATATATTCTCATGCCAGGAAGATTCACTGTTTCTCATCTGAGTAATCAAATTCCCAAGTAAAAGGATATTACCAAAAACCAGGATAAAATCAAGTATAGCTATTTCCCATTTCAAACGTCAATTGACAGTAAACCTTGAAATGATACAGATTTTCTTTTCAAACTCCTAAAAGTGTTTTCATAAGCAAAGACAAGATAAAGATATGTGCATTTTCACATGGCGATCAGATATCAAAGGGAAAATATGCAAGCAAATCACTGGACCTTAATCTTGAAGAAGAAAAGGATATTTCCGCAATTAAATGAGTGCACTTCCTGGTCAATTCTGCAGAATATTTCCCACCATTTTGTGTAATATGCTTTTGAATCTCCTTCCGCCCATCTGAGATAATGTAGGACATACAAATTGAAGAACTGATTGACAACCAAGAGCAGCAGCTATATCAAATAATCAGTACCTGCAGGCATTCCGGTTACGCATATCGTCAATCCAGAAAATGGAAGAACTCTGTAAGACTCCTGAGGTACAACGCGGTGCTCATTACGGCATTGGTATAACCAATTGATGGTGACAACAGGTTTCTTCAGAACATTTAAAGCCCACTGCACGATGACAACATCAATTGATAAATACAATTAATCTCTCGAGGATGGGATTCATAAAAGAATTTGCACAAAGGATATTCAGAAAAATATGGATGGAACCCTTCCTCTATTCAGCCAACTCAAGCAGAGTGCTGCCCACGATGCTTCCCATACTTAGCGAGAAAACATAAAGGATCTCGTTTAAAGTGATTTAACCTTAATAATATACGACAAATTTGATACTCTTAAACTAAATTCAAAGTTCCAACCCAAAAAAAAAAAAACTAAATTCAAAGTATTAACTCCAAGACTCAAACCTTGTATTTTGCAGCCAAAACATTCTTCGCAATTACAAAGCTAACATCCGCTGAAGTTTTAGTCTGTAGAACTCCCCCCATTGAAGTTACCAATTTCTCGATCTCAGCCTGCAGATTCATGGAAATGGTGAAACAATAAGAGAGTTCAGACAAAAGCATGTCTGAAGGCAAAAGAATCAAGGGGTCACATAGAAGGACACAGGGGTAGAGGATAACTGACAAGCCACACTAAATTTGAGAGACGAGTAACAACAAAGATTACACCCTAAAAAATTATACAGGGCCAGGCCTATCTAGGAACAGGCATACCTTCTCGTCCATCTCAAATCCAGATGCAAGGACTTTGACACCATCCATTGCAAGACAACAAGTGTACCCTTTTTGAGGTAGAGGTCTCCGTTCTTTCGCACACGAAACCACACACTGCGGACCTGCCAAGAAACAGATATAACTTCCATCAATGGATGCGTTTGTCTCGCAGAAAATGAATGGTTTGGAAAACATTGTCTTAAAAGCTTATATCGCTTACAAAAATGATCGAACGAAAAATATTTTCAGCATCCATGTAAATGTTTAGACAAAAATTGCTGCCGATAACAAAGACATCCTTCATTAACTAATTAATTCGAGCGACACAAGTAATCATTTTTAGGAAAACATTTTTCAAATCATTTGTTTTCAGCGAAACAAAGGGAGCTAAAATCGACATTTTTCCCCAAGCAGAAGAATTACTCTCCACTTGCTCATCCAGTGCATTGACCCTCAACGCTTCCGCTTTCATTTCTCAACCCCAAGTCGGGCGCGCTTAGCATTTCGCAGCTTCGAGTGAAAACCAGAAAACGAAAACCAGGACGAGAGCAAGATCTTTTTACCCACTAGCTTACACCCTTTGGCCCGGAGATCCTCGAACTTCTCCTGCGAAAAACAACAAAAACCAACCTCAATCCCCCCCAATCCCTCGAAAAACTTTTCAACCCCGACATCCGAAATGCCCCCGAATCCCCAAACGCAAACTCACGTGGTCGGGGGAGGAGATGACGTGGAAATCGGAGGCCCCGTTCCTGGAAGGATCGCAGCAGAGGAAGACCTCCGCTCCGTTCAGCTTGAGCGCGTCGTGCAGCGTGTCGAACAGCTCGGGAGGCACCAGGCTCCTGGACACGAACACGCTCGCCCCCTGGAACGGCCTCGCCTTCATCATTTCCTCTTCCCTTCCCTTCCCTTCCCTTCCCTTCACTTCCTCCGGCGGCGGCGGCGATTTCTTCCAGCAGACGATCGGTCTCGCTGCCGAGATCTCGCGAAATCCCAAGCGCGTGCGCGCGAGGGGCGACGATGAAGGCGGAGGAACGAATCGAAGGTCGGAAGAGGGATGATGGAGGAGGAGGAGGAGGAGCGAATTGGGGAAATTTGAGTGGGAGTGGAGCTCTCTGAGTTCTTCCCCCAAAATTGGGGGTGATTCCTGATTAGGGCGTGAGAAAGCGCGGGAAAGGGTTTCTTCTTGGGTTCTTTTTCGGATTTTCCCTTTTCGATTTCCTTTTTCACTATTAATTTTGTGGGTAATTTCTCAAAACCACCCCCCCCCCTTTTTCTCGTACGGTTTGCTCCCGAACTTTGAGAAAGTTGCGGTCCATGTTCGCGGCCGGCGAAGGGCAGAAGAAAAATAAAATGGAATAATTAAAAAAGTGGGAAAAATTGCAAACATTATACATCCACGTGAGCAATTTCATATTAGAATTGGCCGGAAAGTCTACACTAGCAAATTATCAAAAGGTTTGGGATTGCATAGAACAAATTTAAAAATTTATGACTGAATTGGCAGCCGTAAAATAAATTTGGGACTCTATTGGCAATTTTACTTGAGAAATCAGATACATGTCTAGATGGAAAAATATTTACATGAAAAGTTTAGCATTGACCCATAACTGTAGAAAAATTTATAGAGTTCGACTAGAGATTATATGACCAACCAAAAATTTTTAAGACACAATTACAACGCAAGTCCTAAATTTTATCCTTACCAAAAAAAAAGTCCTAAATTTTATTATGATAACACACTTGAGTGCCAAAACTTTCATCTCATTCCATCTTATTTGAGTCCTATTAATCTCGATAGTTTTAAGTGGACGGAAAGTAAATTTAGGGCTTAGATACCCGAGAAAGTTTTAGGATTCAAATCCATTATCATGACCTTTGTTAGGTTGACTTACAAATTCAACAATGAGGATACATGTCACCAAACACCGACAGAAAATTATGATCTACCTGTCCATAACACAACTTCGGAAATACACTTGCTATGTCTGGTTTGGTCCGTACATTGAACGTTGGGACAAAAGTACAATAAATCCGAAAATCCAGTGAATCAGCGCGTGGCACCTCGGGTCGCACTTGAGTATCGCGAAATCGGATAGCATATTATAGGCCCGGTCAAACTTTCAGTATTACAAAACGAAATAGTGAGAGCAGCAGTAGTAGACGTACAATTAGATCCGATCTATACTTTGGGACTTTGGAACCTGTAAACGAGTACTTGGAACCCCTAAATTCCAACGCACCCTCATACAGAAAAATATTTGGAATGAGCCATCAGGTCGCACATAAGAAATGAACAGCTATCATGAACGATGACAAAGTTAAACCAACCAATTCAGTAGGATCCCCACATTTCATTATTCATGCTATCATGATTATCATCAAAATGTTTACTTGAAAACATTCGACTTCGCAGAGGCCCGCCGCAGCCATTTCAAAAAGGCAGGTTTGCTCTGTCCACTCTTTGAATTAGATATTGATTCTGAACAAAGGGAAAGGAAGGTTATGGGGCTTGCATAATTTCAACAGAAATGCATACGCAAATCACAAGCACACACCGCGCGGGAAACCCACGTCAGGAAAATTGACACCATGTTTGACCACTGTATGAACATGCTTGCACCGTGACCATAGAAAATCTTATAGATCAGCACTGAAATGAAGTATCCGCGTCCAGATAATATTACCTGCAAACTATGGCCATATACACAATCATGATGGTTTTTTGTAAACACTCCGCAAAGATGAAGCACCAAGAATGCAACGTGTCTATAACAGCCAGACAGCAATAAGAAAAGTAATCTTTAGTATTTGGGGCAAGGCAAGTAGTACTTGGCCCGTGTCCTCATCGAGACAGTGAAAACATGAAGTCAACTCGACAACCGAGATTAAAAGTAGCTTTGTAAAGCATGTATGCAATATAAAAATGCAGAAGAAATATGCACATCAAATAACGGTCATAGTAGAGATCACAAATCTTGTTCTCCATTGCAACATCCATATGCAATATAAAAATTCAGTTAGTCACGTGATCATTCAATTTTGCCTGGTCATGTGCACCAGCAGTGAAACCCATGAAAACAAGAGGGCAGTGAGGGGCAAGAAATAACTGAGCTTTCATAGCTGATTAGATCCCAAGAAATATTCTGACACAGTGTCAATCTCCTCCTACCCCCTTGTGTCCCGCCCAACAAAAAAATGACACAAAAACCCAAATCCCATAAATAGAACAGCAAGAAATTGGAGAGAAGAGAAGGGAGGACACAAGAAAATGAAAAAAAGCATACAGATTAACGCTTCATATGAGAACCAGAACGAGGCAACAAGGTAGAATACAACATCTCATGTTAAAACAAAGCAAATGTGAAATTCAAATCGAACATCCAAATGTGGCATTTAGGAAATATGGTCACTGAAATAGCTACATGTAAGGGAAAAGTCTATGATGCAAATCAAACACGAAAAACAATGTCAAGTTATGAAGAAAAGTACGTAACACGACTGATGAGGACCTTCAATTGTCAAAGGCTAGATCTTGTGAAGTTTCATTTTCTTTTGCATGCACACAGGCGCATATGTTCGCTTGCGGTGGTGGAGCGGGTGGGTATGCATTGTGGATGGGTTGGTGGGAGGAAACATTAAGCGAAAAGGTTCAACACAATGTGAACCTTAAAAGCCTAGCCCCTCTAGCAAGGTGGGATCAGCGAGATGAAATCTGCAGCCTTAACACCCCTTGAGTCTATCACAAGAGAAACACCACTCTTTTAACAAGAAACCCACAGAAAGTCTACATCAGTTGAATGAAAGATGTTTGCATGTTCAAAGTCAATAGCACTTCTCTCCAGTATACACCTAGTGTGCGCAAGCGCATGAGAGAGAGAGAGAGAGAGAGAGAGAGTGAGAGGATTCAAACATACCTTAGTTTCCAAAGAGAAAATGTGCATTCGAACCATATGAGCAACTTCCTTCCTAATCAGAAAAGCATTTCCAAAGGGAAAGAGCCAAGATTTTTTCAACAAATAACTGCAAACAACACGAGAATGAACCTACATCACAATATTCTGAATTTTTACATGAAACAGAGACCAGTTTCCCTCAAAAGGTTCAAACTTCATACCAAGCAGCTATTACAAAAGGAGTGCAAAATGGATCAACTAATACTCAAGTCAACATTATCAGAAGGCTTCTCAAGCATTGTACTATTTGGCCTAAAAAATGGAACCAACCTTCCTGTGTGAATGTGAAGGCTTCTGCCGAATAGGACAGACAGAATAAGGCAACTAAAAGGTAGCACATCAAGCACCTGGACTGTGTGAAACAGAATAAGATATGCTGATATACATAAGCTATTCTGCATATAATTTAATTGATGATTTTCTGGCTTTCAACACTCAAAAGAAATAGATGAAAAGAGTAGAGAACTTACTGATATTTCAATCGCGTTTCCATTGATTCCAAGGAGAACTTTATCGATAAGGTCTTAAAATAAAGCAACTCCAAACAAGCAAAGCAAATTCCTAAGGCAAGACTTAGGAATATCAAGTATGAAGAGTTATGACCATTGACAACAAAGAATTCAATTTCAAGTCATCGTAATAACATCACAACAAGAAACAGACAGAAAAAAGTGAACAACAAGTTTAAGTCCTTTGTATCAGCGTGTGGTCCATAGCTCAAAAGAAAAAACATGATACAAAGCCTAAGAAATGGAAGAAGATACAAACAGTTCAAAATACTGACAAGACACATAATCATGACAATGTTTTGCTTGTGAGCAAATTCCCCTTTGCGATCCTCACTCATTCCTCCGGTGGTGAACTGACTGTGATCACCAAAATCGCACCGTGGAAGCAAGTGGTGCCTCCTGAAGGACGAGTAATAATAGCTAGATGCGCAGCTACACGCCTCTCGTGCACTAAAACTGGAAACGCTCCTCAGTAGTTGCCCTTTCGCGATTCTCAATCATTCCACTGGTGCTTAACTGACTGTGATCGTCAAAATCGCACCGTCGAAGCAAGACGTAGCAGCGCCGCCTTGGCAATAGGGTACCTTGTCCGGTGCCTTACATGCCACGAGGGATCCCGACGACTCTTCCAACATCCTCAGTCCCTTCGGACATTTGCTCAGGGGTATATCACAGCTAACAGGCGGGCACTTACCATCAGCACTCAGGAATTCTGCTCTAACTGCAAAATTATACCCAAATGGCCCACTGGCGGTTACAGTGCCGTTGTCATAATAAATCATCGTGGCCACGGGATTATCCACCGAAGTGCAGCCTTCATTAGGGCAATTGCCGCTGCTACACTCAATCAGACGACCCGACTCGTCCTGGGAACAGTCAGTGGCAAAAAATAGACAGAAATGGCTGTCCCGTTTGAAGGAAAGGCGGACGCTGCCCTTCGGGGGTACTGCCGCGAAATCCATGGTTGGACCGCCGGAACCTGCACCAACCACCCGAGGGAATATCGTATAGTTTGTTGTATTCACAACAACAAAAGTCACGTTATCAGCCAAAGACAGTGCTTCATCTGCATCACAAGCAGCTCGATATTTAGTTCAGGTTAAAAATTCAAATTCTAACAATAAAAAGCTTTCATTTCCTAATGGGTGCAGAAAAATATGTTCTTTTTCTCTAGAAGAGGTCTCCAAATCGATCTAAAAACGAATCGAACACGAGAAACAAAGAAAGATCTGGTGAATTGCCGATACCAGATGATTTCAGAGCCCGTCAATCATGGTAGTAGAGCCGACGCGCGACAACAAGCAGCACAAATTCGAAAAGCATTTCAGCAATTTCCAACCGACCATCTGATCAGCGGCGGAGAAGAAGAATCGAGGAGCGCAACAAAAAAGACCTACAAAATCCGACGAGAACGACAAGCAGTGGCAAAGCCATCATCGGCGATGCATTTCTTAATGGGTGCAGAAAAATATGTTCTTTTTCTCTAGAAGAGCTCTCAAAATCGATCCAAAAACGAATCGAACCCGAGAAACAAAGAAAGATCTCGTGAATCGCCGATACCAGATGATTTCAGAGCCCGTCAATCGTGGCAGTAGAGCCGACGCGCGACAACAAACAACACGAAAAGCATTTCAGCAATTTCCAACCGACCATCTGATCAGCGACAGAGAAGAAGAATCGAGAAGCGCAACAAAAAAGACTTACAAAATAGCACAAGAACGACGAGCAGTAGCAAAGGCATCATCGCCGTCATCGCCGATCGCCGTAGCCCCCTCATGATCCGCGCGAAAGGGCCACGGGCGTCGGAGAAATCGGCCGTTCTTCACCAGGGGTATTCGCAGGAAGAGGAGGAAGGCGTGAGCAGAGAAGCGTATAGATGAAGCTACTGTTTAGGCTTTCGGGGGTGAGAGAAGGTTTATATATTGGGTAGGAACCGCAGAAGCAAGAGTTGAAGGATGAAGAGCAATGTGTTTGGGGTGGTGGGCTCCGGCCCATCAATGGGTTCTCATCGATTCCCCCCCCCCCTGCTCTACGAATTTTCTGTTTTTTGGAAATCAATCCTTTTAGTCGGGTTAATTGGTTGGTGCTTTTATTTTAGGTTTCGGAAGTTGCGTTTGTCACTGAGGCCCAGCCCACCGCTGGGCCTCAATGACGGCTACGGCCCACAACCGTGGCCGTTCGCCCAGGCCCAATGACAGGCGGAAGAGGAAGAAGGAAAAGCAAAAATGAAAAGGAATAAAAGAAAAGGAATAAAATAAAAGGAAATATTAAGTATTAAAAATTCAAGAGAAGTAATTCCGGAAAGTGCTTTCAGCTTCTAAGATAGAAATTCACTTTCCTAATTATAAATTATACATGAACATATAAGAGAAAAAATAATAATAATAAAGTATTAAAATTTCGAGAAAAGTAATTTTGAAAAGTGTTTTCACCTTCTTGGATTCAAATACGTTCCACTCACCAACCGCAAAAACCCAACTTAATTCTACAGTCATGGTTACCTATTGTTTCTTGGGTCTGTTTATTTTTTTACCATAGTTTCGTTCCACTACTTCTTGTCCTAATTTTAATAAAACAAGAAATTGCGTTTTACTAACTCTAATAAAATCCATAAAAGAAATTAATGTAACTATTAATATATTTATTGCATCCGGTACATATGGTTTGTTTATAAGAAAAATACTTTTCGGAAAATTATTTTTCAAGAAAATATTTTTTCCTTTTCGGGTTAGGGAATTTATTTTCCTAACTTTAATCATCTATATTCTATTTGACCATAAATATCTTTCCGTTGACTGATTATTTTCAACAAACCAAATGCGTAAAAATCCGAAAAACTTATCCGTGAAAAATTCTTTTGTTAAACAAACACACCTTTAGGCTCCATTTATTTCACGAAAAATGAATAATTTGGAAAATGTTTCTTTAAAAATCATCGCCTATATTGCGTACATAAATGTTTTTCCCTCTCTATTTTTATTTCTTTCTTTTTTTTTTATCCGTGGAGTCCCCAAGATAAGAGCGTGGAAATGGAATGTGAAAGCTTATCAATTGTGCAGTTCATTTCAGGTGAAAGCCAAAGCCCATGGGCCTTGCAAAATTGTGATTGAAAACTGCCGAACGTAGTTAGCCCAAACCAAAGAAGTGAGCGTGCATCATTGCCCACGCGGGGCCAACCAGCTAGCTGATTGGGTTGCCAAAGCCCATCGCAAGAAATCCCTCCCTTCTAATTGGTCGTGTCATCCCCCCTTCGCCTCTCTGGAATATGTTGTGTTCCGAGACTCATCCATCATGTTTCGATGTTTTGCGACAATGAATGAAATAGTCTTTTCGACCCCCCCAAAAAAAGTTATTTCAGGTGATACGAGTGGTCTTTTTAGAAAAGCTTTCGACAGACTATTCATTCTTCGCGAAATAAAAATAGTCTTAATTCAAACACCGATGCTCGTGGGATTGATAAAGAACAAATTCCATGAGAGTTATAAGAGAGGAGGAGCATGCCGAACGGAGTACCTAATTATTGTTCCTCGGAAAGTCCATGAAAGACCGGAGTTGTAGTGCAGATGTTCCAAGCGATGCCGTTGGCCTTTCTAATTTGGTTCTCAAACCTGTAAAAGAAAACGGGACTATGGATGAATCTACCATGCAACCAGGAACTGTATTATTAAATTATTAATAATACGACCGAAATAACAATTATTTAGATAAATACAAAATGACTAGTGAAATTAGTGTGAGATTTGATGGGATCACTGCCAACTGTTCTAAAAGCTTAAGCTATTAGATAAATGCGTGGTTTAATATTTAACTATTCTAACACTCCCATTCACGCTTAGTCCGATCTTTTTGCCCAGTACTAAACATGAACATATTTAATTGGGGAAGGTAAATAGGTCCTGGAAAGATTTGAACTCAAAACCACCTGCTTTGATACCATGTGACATTTGGTGGGACCACTGCCAACTGTTCTAAAAGCTTAAACTGTGTTTACAACATCGTGAATAAAGCTATACATGATTATGAAGTTTTACATAATGATAATGAGACGAAGCAATTACTCCTATGCTAATTATTATTTCACGTATATTTAGAATAAAGCAAAAAGCATATATTATCAAGTCACTATAATTCATTACATCAGCTATTCATTTATATGATAGTAATTTACTTACGATTTTGATGAACTACAATAACGACGCATGTGATTATGTAAAGAATAGATACCATTACTTATGGACCGTTTTTATACACCTTATTCAAATATATATATAAAAGAGGCGGTCAATAGCACAAATAATCCCAAACCGGTACACACATACCACAATTAAATCTCAAACTAATGTACTCGTGCCGCTTTTACCCAAAACTAATTTTCTTATCACAAATCCAAAATCGGTACACTTGTGACAAATCTATCCTCCATTAGCTTTCGTCTAATATCCATGTTAGTTTGATAACACAGAAAGACACGTGGCAAATAAACTGCTTGTGGAAGTCAGATCTTAAAAAAAATGAATTGAGGTTGGAAAATTTGCTATCTTTTACCTAAAGCTCCCTTACGTTCCAAGAATCATCCAACCTCCCTAACTTTGCCTCGATTTGCGCTAAAACATTGGTGGATCTGTCGCGGAAATTAATTTTGGGATAAATATGACACAAATATACTAGTTTTGGGTTATTTGTGGTAATAACCATGCATCTCTAGAAAATTAAGTGAGATTGAAAATTTTGCTAAAACCGAATATGGTAATATTAGCAGAAGAAAAACCACGGTGAGATGCACGTAAAGGAGAATGGAACCCCAGCCTCCAACATGAAGCAAGCAAACAAGACACTCAGCTCAGGACCGAAAAAAAAAACACAAGACACTCAGCTGATAAGACATTACTAACCATAAAACAAAAAACGAACAGGCAGCTAACAAATGGTGCGGTTGAAGCCACAGTTTAAGGCAGAAGCTCCTGTTCTCTTATCTTTCACGTGCGGAATCTGTACGAATGCCGTTTTTGGTCGTCGGAGTGCTGGAGTCTGCTGCTGCTGGCTGCTTGCTGCTCTTCCTCCTCCAATACTACTCCTTCCATCCCTATACGGAATCTCCGATTCGATTTGCTCTCGCGACCGAGGAGGGATGTTAACGTGAAAGATACAGAGGCGATCCAGAGGAAGGAGAAAAATAATGCATAGGCCGGCCCCTCCACTTCACCGTGAGGCCGGCGGTTCTGGGTCCTCTTCTCTCTATCCATTGAATCATTCGCTCCTCTCTCTCTCTCTCTCTCTCTCTCTCTCATTGAAGACGTCTGTGTCTTCTCCCTTCACTGTAAAGAACGAAAACTCTCTCCCTCGCGTGGCGCAGTTGAGCGCGAGGAGGAGGCGCTTTAGGGGTTTGCCCTGGGGGGGGGACCTTCCATGGTTTCCACCGTGACCAAGCTCTCGCTATCATCCCTTGCAGAAAAAATTACGTAGGAAAGGAGAGATGGAGTGCTTCGTTCTGGGCGCACGGTAGCTATGAGAGGAGACAGATGACGGAGAAATGCTTATGTTGTAAGCCAACAAAAAGAAATAATAAATAATTAAAAATTATTGTGGGGCCCATTCTTTTAAAAATTTATGGGACCACCTTTTTAATTGACGGAGTTATCAAGTCTTTTTCTGTCAGGGACACGCGAAATGAATTTTCTTTTTATTTTTTTTTGTGGGTCAATGCGAAGTTTGTTTTTTTATTTTTATTTTTTGGTTTAAAAAACGCGAAGTCGAGTAGCTGGGAATCATTCCCATTGGGCGCAACCGAAAGATGAAAAAGAACAACCACGGGAGCGCTAAGCACGCCATGTGAGGGCGACCCTGTGCCCGAGGCTACGCTCTGTCATCCGCGCGAGCTCTTCAAGGCAAAACATTGTGCTCACGTTCTCACACCTTGGCAAAGCTCACCTTCGACTCCAAATACGCATATATTCCAGCATCGACGAGTCTGTTGCGGAGGTTTGATCCGTGAAAGTTTTGTGAGTAGTTTTGCCGCCGAAGCTCAGGAACACGCCGTGATTGTTACTTTCCCATCGGAGCGGAGGACAAACGAGACGCTCCCGTACCATGTGCTTTTCGACGATTGCTCCTTTTGTTGTCCTCGACAAAATTGGATGGGAGCAGGGAGACGCGTTTTCCATTTTTTACTCTTTCAAATAACTCATGATTCTGGAACGGGTCTCTCTGTTAATTATGAATTGGGTCGCCCAAGAAGATGTCCTTGCAGAGTCCGAGTCTTTCGAGAAAATATTAAGCAAGTGAAATACTCCACGTCGGCAATGCATTGAACCATTTCGCGACCAAGAATCAAGTATGGAACGCCAAGGCCGACCGAGATCCGAGGTCACCACCAAGGCAGTCGCGACCTCAATCAGAGGGTCTCCATGTCCGAATGGCGACCTCGACGAGGTCGCCCATGGCGTCGGCGGCCTCGATCCCTCGTCGCGACGCAATGGGGCGACCTCGGATCGGATCGAGGCGCAAGTCGCGGTGGCGTGCCTTCGCGCGGGACAGAGAATTAATCGGCAAAGAGACGGAGCACAGCGAACCACTCCTTGGCCGGATTCCACCTTCCCAGTTTGATTTTTGTTTTCCCCTTTGTTAGTTTGTTGAAGATTTCGTCGTCTCCCTGAATTTTTGTTGAGCACGCAAAGTTAAGAAGAAGAACCTGTGGAGGTTTTGATTAGAGGACACTAGGAATTGGAGATCCTTCGTCAAATCCCGTAAATGAACGGAGAGCTGTGCTGCGGAGTCGAACTTGAGAGAGAGAGAGAGAGAGAGAGAGAGAGAGAGAGAGCGGGGCAAAAGAAGAGCAACGAGAGAGAGGGGGAGAGAAAACGGGGAAAGAGAAGAGAGAGAAGACAGTGGGCCCGGATTTTGCCACCTGTCATGCACTGAATGGCCCAATGCATTGACGGGAGTATCTCTCACGCCTAATATTTTCTCGTCGTTTTGAGCAGCTTTTACTTCAAGTTAACGCATCGATCAAGAGAAATGAAACGGGCAAACGAAAATAAAGAATGACCGGGAAGTATTCGTTGCGAAAAAGGCGGAATCAGACGTCGCACCCGGTGACACGCTACTATCCTTTTTTCCTGGTCGACAGCGTTTCTTTTGGTCGAGAAAGGGATGCCTTACTCTTTTTTTTCTTTTTTTTTGCGGTCAAAAGTGATACGTTGCTTAATTACCTACTCTTTGGTGAGAGAAAAAGACAGGCGGGCGGCCGTCCTTGCAAAAGTATGCAAAAAAGAGAGGAACGTCCCGTCGCGTTCCTGTCAATTTCACGCCAAAAAGGACGTCCCGTTGCGTTCCGGTCTTTGTCTTGTCAATTGTTTAGCTGGAAAGTGACGCAAACGGTCCGGAACTTTAACCCAATAAATGATATATTTTTAAAATTTTAAATTTATTTAATATAATTCATAAATTTTTTATGCGTGTTTAATATAATCCATAAATTATATGAAAATGTTCAATGTAGTCATTTCATTAATTCAAGTTCAGTAACTATATTTAATACGTACTAAAAATCCATGGATCATATTGAACAAAGTAAAAATTCATTAACCATATTGCATATTTGACTAAAATTTAGGACTCTTTGTGTCATTGTCCTTTGTTTAGCTCTTTCTCGTTGATATATTATAACTTTTTTTTGGGGCCACTCTTTACATTGTTTCACATATAAAAAGACCAAGTCTTATTATATTGTTTCAGGTCTTATTATCATTATTATTATTATTATATATATAAAGACCAAGTCTTATTATATATATTGTGTCAAGTTTTATTATATATATAATAAGACCAAATTGAAAATTCCAAGTCTTGTTATTTATATAATAAGAACCAAATTCAAAATTTCAAGTTGTGTTTATGGGCGCCAAACCCAACTAACTTTCCCCGTCTAACAATTCATTTACTTTTTAGAAAGTGGGAACTCCCTTTATCACTTGTCGTACCGGACATATAGCAGTATATTATAAGTGTTGCTTTTTTTCCTTAGCCTATAATTTTTTAGAGAAAGCAAGCCGTAGCGGGAAAAAAAATTAGAGTAATTTCAATTGATTATCATATTGGAATGTAGTTTTGGCATATATGTATTGACATGTGTATATTGGTGCTGGTGAAACTGCGAAACAATTGAATTGATTTAAGGTGATGGCGTGTTGCGCATTAAGAAAAAACTAGAATTTAACATTAAAAACAGATGATTTATATCGTACCCTCTTGACGTAAAAATGAAATTTTCGCATGCGGCTTTATCTACGCTTGATTCGATGGGCGGCATGAGAGTAAAAAATCTTCAAATCGAGGGTGGATAAGATCATTTGCGCGATATGTTTTTAAATCGACGATGCATACGATGACGTGTGCTCTAACTTTTCTTCAAAAATATTGTTGGGCCCGACAATGGTGCCGGGAAAAAAAGATGTTGGGGATCGAATTATAACTTTTTCAATACCCAACTCATGTGCGATAATTATTAAGACAAATGAATCCTTTTAACTTATAGCATGGACGGCGCAGCGTTAAAGAGCCTTCTATTGTTGTTCCATCGGTGCGATGTTAACAAGTGATGCGACTTTTGTCTCGTTCTCTGAACCTTACGTGCTAAGCTGCGTAGTGGTGAAGCGAATGCTTTGGCATCTTTTAATGAGCGATTTCAAATCAAAGAGATGCTTTAGCGTTCGATACGTCCGATGCCAGAGCTAACTACAGGGCGACCTAGCGACGAGGCCATCAAAATGATATCATATAGTCTTCTCGTAACGTTGCATCCGGACCGGTTGCTCGTCACGACGTGTCGAAATCTAAAAGGCGATGGAACTTACCCAAACGGCCACTCCCTCATTTGTCACGAGATTCCAAAGCCCCCTCCTTTCTCTCTCTCTCTCTCCCCCCTCCTTACTCTCTCTCTTCCTCCCCTCTCCCGTGACCTCTTTTGGTCCCCTCTCTCTCTCTCTCTCTTGCTAGGGTTCTGGGAAATGAGAAGTGAAGAGTGAAGAAGAAGAAGAAGCTGCCATCACACAGGGATAAAAACAAGCGAAGAAGTCAACGGAGACAGAACAACCGATCATTTCCATCTGTTCACATCAGTGAAATGGAGATAGAAACTCGATTAAGATGTCGATTCAAACGCGGGGCTTGGAAATGAGCCGAGAATTTTGGTTAACTTTGCTTTTTGATAAAGCTAGAGAGAGAGAGAGAGAGAGAGAGAGAGAGAGTAGCGTGCACTCCATAAATGATGATGAAGTCTAGTGGGGCCCATCAACCAAGAGAGGTAACGGGGAGAGTAACGGAGACCGAGTAACGGAGCGGAGAAGAGAGGAAGGAGGGGACTTTGGAATCTCCGGACAAGTCGGTCCCACAAAGTGGGAGTGCGCGCCTACCCAATATATTCTCACTCAAATGAAAGAGGATCCCAAAGAGTTGGGGAAAATTCAAAAGGACGTCCCGTTTCTTTAGTCGAGTTAGTCAAAGAATCCGATTGGGAAATTTATTGGGAAGCCACCTAACGACAGCTCAGGCGTTGGCCCCGACAAAGATGACCAAGCAACTTGACCAAGACTTTAAAGCTGGTCTTTAGTCGTTGCAGCGGGTCAGGATACTCGTTTTCCTCGATGTCCGTCCGAGCACCCTTCCCTGATACGCGCAACGCCAGACTTCATGCGCCAGTGTCCGTTTTTCTTATTAGAGGGTTGAATCCTCCCCGATGACTTCTTGTTGTCCGGGCTCTAGAGTCTTTAGATCATTTATGTCGTTGTAAAACTTCACGGGATCAACTAATTTTTTCCTTTCCAGTAACTATCTCGTGACGAAAATCTTGTCTTAACCTGACAATTGAGGAACAGCTCCCGTTGTCAAGATAATGATTTTAACACGCCGACGCCAGCACGCCCGGCTCCTAAGTTGAAAGAAAAGTTTTCTTCCCTCGTTTCAGGGTATGCCCCCGAATTTTACATTCTGGAGTGCAAACGAAGCGATTTGAACAACTTACTCAGGTCCGGCATGTCTCCCGTCATCAAGATAATGATTTTAGCCTTATAGTAGGGTTGGCCAACCACTAAAATGGCTAGAGGACCAGGCATTGGATTCGTCTGGCTTTCTCAAAGTACATCTCGGGTTTTGCGCAAGGACCGCGCATGAACATCCTATATTAATAATTGATTCGGTTTTATCTATAGAGTGAATACCAAGAGAAGTCATTTGGCATTCTCTGCGAAATTTCGGAAAGTGTCGTGCGGGATAGAGGAAGCTCTTTGTGTCTCTCTCATACTTATTCCCCCTCCTCTTTCTTGTTCTTGAATTCTCCACTTGGGGGAATCGGGATATAGTGAAACCGTCTCGTTCTTAGGCTTTGTTCGTCTTGCGGTCTAGAAAGTCGTTTTTTAAGAAAATTGCAATATTTTCT